CCATGACTTAATAAGTCTACTTATGGCTCTGAACCAGGCTCCAAAGGTCAGTCCTGCTCCCCCACTGATTGGCTGTACTAGCCAACCATTGCGCCAACAAAAAATTAACTTTAGAAGTTCCTCTGCTCAAAGCATAGCTTTAAATTTTCAACTGGGTCAGCCTCTTACATGCAAATTTCAGAGTTCCTTATCACCAACTTTTCTACTAATGATACCCTAATTTTTGCTAAAATTCAATTTCAGAAGCTCATCATTTAAAAAGTCAACAAAAGGATTTAACTTGTGAGGAATATAGTACACTTTCTGCATTATATTTGTTTATCCATCATATATGAGTATTTGGGGGGGGGTTGTATATTTTGTTTTTAATCAGACATCAATGCCATCCACTGTTCATCTCCTCAGGTTGAAAATTAAGGAGCGGTTTCAATAACGTCTGTAGCCACCCTTTATCACCCTTGTGCTGTGTGCCACTGCGCCACACAGAACACAGTGACACTTTTCAAACTGTCTTCTAGCCCTCCTCATAACTGTCTGAAGTAGACGATCCTATCCTTATTTCATAACTGAGGAGAAGGAACCTCAGAGAGATCAAATGACTTGCCTAAGGCTACACAGGAGTAAGTGGAAAATGGAGATTCAAAAGACTCCATTCCCTTACAATCCTACAAAACGTCCAACTGCTTGATTCTTTGGGTTTCAGTATCTAAGGCCATATAACACTCAAATATAGAATAAACTTTGCAGATGTTTGCAGGTCTTGTTCTGTTTGCTGTTGCTTTGAATTTTGACATTTCTAAAAGTATCAATAAACCCGCTTTGACCGCGGGACACTGTAGATAATGCCTGAGCTGCTCTTCATATTCTCAGAATCCAGAGCAGCAGTCAGAACATAAGGCACAGAGGGATAGAAGACATGGAAGAAAGACGGTGGGAAGGAGCTCCAAGCCTCTCCGTGCATCATGAAGGGCTTGCCAGGCACGGGGCACCATCTCCCAACAAAGCAAGGGAATTCACTCCCTTCATTTTCACAACAAACATGTGGCAGATATCACTGTGTGACCCACAGGCAGCCGATGTAGGGAGTTAAAGCACATGTACGTGACAGAGCAAAGATGAGAATCCAGGTTTTTGGCTCCAGACCCTAAGCTCATTGCTACTGTACTTCACTTCTCCCAACTCTGGGCCTGCAAACTGAAGATGGCATTTTTGCCACATGACTTCATTTCAAGCCTTTCCAAGGAAGTTAAGTTTTAAGTAAACAAGCAAAACATTGATACACATATTTTTTAAATTAGCAAAATTCAACTCGTTCCTCTTCAAAGTCTACAATCTTAAAAGCTACTCATTTGAAATTAATCATGCATGGGGTGTGTGTTGTTGGTTGTTTTAACACTTCTTTTTGTGCATAATTCAATAGTCTCACCAGATCTCAACAGAGGTTGATTGAAAAGAGGAGCAGAAAAAATGGAAGAATGTTCTCAGGCCCTGGCGAGTTCAGCCTGGGTCCAGATTTAATTTAATATCAGAATTCTAAGAAGAGGCAATGGAACCACTGCTCTGATAGTGAGGAAACAAGACATTCAGGGCAGTAGCACCCAGGAGCCATGTAGGAGGAAGCAAGGTGTGAAAGAGGGTCAAGAGCCATCCACACATGGATAAGGCCTGACCAGCAGGCTGTAGGTGATTAAGACAATGGCTTTTAACCCTCAGAAATGAGTCAGAAAAGGACAGCTAGTAGGAATAAAGGTAAAACTCAGTCCTAGGACCTGGGGTATGTGGAGTCAGTATCCGTGGGGTGAGGTTGACCAGAAGGGTGCTAAACTAGAACCAGCTGGTGGCAAAGGGTACCTAGAAGTTCAGGGAGAAAGCTAAGTAAGTGCCCACATAAAATATAAGGCTTGGCATTGACAGGGTGCTTGGCTTCATGGCCCTAGCAGCTGAGGAAAAGAGACAGCCAACACATTATCTATCTCTGATTAAGGTTACTATAAAAACTCACCAGTGCTGAGCCTCAGTGTAAAGTGCCAAATCATCAAAATTGGAGAATGCAGAGAAATGAAAGAGCCTGGAATATGGTGCATACTGTAGTCTATAATTACATTACTGCTAGCCTAATCAAATCCAGGATACAATGGTAACATCAGCATATACACACACATGTTTACAGGTATAATGTGAATGTATGAATCACCTACCTTCAGTGGACAGAAAGAAAAGAGAAATGCTAAGCAGCCTAAAGACGGAATTCTCTGACAGGACTGAGTCTTGTTTTATTGTCTTGCTCATCGACTTATACTATCTTGTTGAAGAGCCATGTTTACATGTTCCTTGGCTCTGTCCCATATTTTGTACTCTGACCTACATTTAACACAGCAAGCATGAATATTAACCAGGTGATTTCTGTTAATTGGTTTCCTTGGTGGAGTGTTCACTTTCTTTTGGTTTTGATGGGTCAATAAAGTAGAGAATTATTCCAGTCATAGCCTAAAACACTCTGCCAAAAGAAATCAGTCCCCAAACCCTGCTGTTATAAATGGCAGACTTCTTCTTGAAAAGTTTAGCCTGTATTAGAAGAGCACGGGCTGACTGACCAACCTCCAAGGTCAATGGTGAAAAGTCAACACAAATGGTACAAGCATAAATATTGCAAAAAAGAAAAAATCCCATGCTGGGAAAGCTTATGTGCAAAGATGATTTGAGCGGTCTCAGTGCCAAGATGGCATATGAAAACCGATCACAAATCAAGCTTTAATTTTTAAGATCACACCCTCCCCCTCCTCCTCTTTCTCTTCTCTTGCTCTGTTTTTTTTTTTCCTTCCTTATTTTATGCATAAAAATGCAACCGGCCTGAACTAAAGCAAATTGGTTTAATTCCCTGGAGGGAACATGAACAAATTTTCCCAGCAACTTCCTACTACAGGCATTTGTACACGGCTGTGTGGATGGAATGTGAAGCAGGCAGCTACGTAAACCAGTAATCAAATGAAACATTACCCATTTCAAAATGCCCTAAACCAGCATTAGCACCACCAATTAAAACACTGAGCAAGGAGAGGGGGAGATGGCCAAAGAGAAGAAAAAAAAATATGTATGCAGGGCGTGTGTGTGTGTGTGTGTGTGTGTGTGTGTGTCTGTGTGTGTCTGTCTGTCTGTTTGTCTGTCTTAGGAGGTAAGGTTGGGTAGGGGAACTCAGTTCCCTTTCAGGGGAAATCTGCCACAAGAATGCTATTGCAGGATCCATTTGATGGGAAAGAAGATAGGAGGAAGGAAACATTCAATAATTTCATTGAACTGAAATGTCAGCAGTTTACCTAAATGACCCAGCCATTAGACACTTGGATAGACATTCGTACAGACCTGCTTCAAGCCTGTTCTAAACATGTAAACACAATAAGCTGCAAACACTAGAGGTTTCCTTATTTCAGTTTTATGGCTGAGACATTTGTGAAAACACTGGTCCTTCCAGGACTGCCAAGGGGTCGTATGTGCATTCATTCATTCATTCATTCATTTTTTACAGTTGTTCAACAAATACTGGCAACTCTGTGCAGCCTTTGACGCTGGGGGGACAGAGATGGAGACAGCATGCTGATGGACCCCAAGGCCAAATTGAGGCTATCCTGCCTTCCACATTACATAACTGGCAGGTTACTGAATGGGCCCTTTTCTCCTCACATTGCCATGAGTTTAAACAGTTCCAGGGTTTCACTCAACTCTCATTTCCATCATGGACCCATATTCTCCCCATGACCATGACCTGGGAAAGAGGAAATAGGTAGCCTTTTTCACATACCACCTGCACAAGGTGTGGGAGCTCCTTCAGCATACGTATCTGCTGAGCACCATGCACTTGTTCTCTTTGTTCTCTGCTAACCAAGGGTCCGAAAAGCGGCGTATACCAGCTGTCCCTCAGATTGGCCACCTTCAGAAGCTCATCACAAATCCGCTCCTCTCCCTCCCAGCTGCAGAGCCTCCCGGGTTCATCTGCCTTTCATCCTTGCTTGCTACCACATACTCAGCTCTGGAGTCTGAGCACATCAAATCACGCTTCCCCTGAAAGATCTGACGTTTGTCTTTCACAACTACTTCCTTCTCCTACTTCTGCCCTCAAAATATTTTTAGAGCCAGATGTGGTAGCACACATCTGTACTCTCAGCACTGAGGAGGGAAGAGTCTAAGTTTGAGGCAAGTCTAGGCTAAATAGTGAGACCCTGTCTCAAGAATGCGTGAATATGGGGTTGTAAAGATGGCTCAGCAGTTAAGAACACTGACTGTTCATGCAGAAGACAAGGGTTCGAACCCCAGCACCCACATGGCAGCTAACAACTGTCCGTAACTCCAGTTCCAGGGGATCCAACAGCCTCTTCTGTCCTCCGCGGGCATTGCACGACTGGGGTACACTTGCTTACATGTAGGCATAACACTCATATACATAAAATAAAAATAATAAATAAAATATTTAAAAAAGAATACGTGAATAAATAACCAAAAATTAAATAATTCCAAAATTTGTATACATTTATTTTTTTACTTAAATTTATGATTCTAATCACTACTGAAAAAAATTGGGCAAGCATAAACAAATTGTTATTTATGACTAACGTCCTTCAGAAACTATTACAGTATTAATTTCAACTAGATCTTAAAGGAACCAGTCACATACACAAAGGCCAAGCAAATGGGCAGAATACTTGAAAATTCGAACAGCCTACTCTAGTACTAATCTGGTCTCACAAGATCTAGAACTTCACAAAGACAGCAATAGTATATTATTCATGGAGGTGTGTGGGAACCAGCTAATTATAATATCTTCCCCTTGGCCCCACCTCTTAAAGCCTACCACATGGACAAGCTTCCAGTCTATGACCTCTGAGGGACAAACCACATCCAGACCAAAGCACACTTCCTATTTGAATAACTGATCACAGCTCCTGGTGGTCTCTGATTTATGACAGTTCTCAATATGGCCCAACTGGCTGGGGCCTAGTGAGGATTACCTGCACAGAAGTGTCGATCTTGGTAGAAGCCATCCCCACAAGTAGACACGCACTGTCCCTGCTGCATCAGCAGGGGAGGCTGGCAGGATGAACACTCTAGCCCACTGGTGCATGTGGAACACTGGGGCTGGCAGGCTGGCTCCAGAAAAGGTAGAAAAAAAGGAGACCTCAGGTTAGCTGGAATGTACCACCCCAATGTTGACTTCCACAAACCTCAAGAAAGGCAAGAAATTAACACCCATCATTAACATAGGAGGTATTTCATGTCAGGCACTGATCAAGCACTTTATAGATATGAATGCTTCAATCCTCATAATAACCCTATGGGGTAGACACTATCAATCAAAATTTTATATGTAAGAAACCAACTCTAGAGATTAAGTAACCTGCCCAATGCTACCAGACACGGGCATTTGAAGCCAGGCAGTTTGGCAAAGAGTCTGTGATCTTTCTTCTAATCTAAAAGTCCCTAATGTCTTCATTACTCAACTTTTTTTGTAAGAATATCCCTAAACAACCTTAAAAAAAAAAAAAAGACCAAGGATTAGAAATCAAGAAAGAAAGTAGGGAAGAAAATAATTTAAAAAAATAAATAAATAAAAGTAGCTAATCCTAATGACAGTTGTCTACATCCTAAACTGAACCAGGTTGACATATTTAATCTTCACCACAACCCTCTGAAGAAGGTACTAGGATTTCCTCCACTTGATAGATAAGAATACTGGGAAGTTAAATATGCATATCCAGGGCAGAAACTTAAACACTTATAAATAGATTATTATTAATCTCACAAATCAGAGAGGAGGGGGAAAATAAGTAATATTTGACCTCAACCAAGCCTCTTATGTAAGATCGACTTAGAAATATATGAATTCTGAAATGTACCTGAAGTTATTCTGGATCTTCTGGTAACTCACAAAACGTATGATTCATCAACCATTATCTGGGTGATATGGAACAAGACAGAAACTTTTCCCTAGTCTATAAGATTCTCAACTGCAAAATTGTAAAGTTCTAGTAAACGATCTTGAAGATCTGTATCAATTCTAAATTTCTACCCTAGATTAACTGAGTACTTTAGTAAATGACTATTTACTGTATTATCCTATAAGTCTTCAAAAACGCAACCAATCCAGCCATGACTGCCTAGCAATCATCTGACCCCCACATCACCTATCTTCCAGGAAATATTGAAGCATCCATAAAATGCCAGGATAGAAGGTAAAGAAGCTAGGGTACTTATGGATGATATGATGACTTCTCATGACTTCTAGATGTGCATTCCCTGCACCAGGACTACCCCTTGACAATACTGAGGTAACAATCATTGAGCAGTCTGTTCAGTCTCTATACAACCCAACCTTCAGGTTACCATACCTAAACACAGACTTCCTGCTTGATAGAATCCCAGCTCACAGCTGTGTATGCATCTTCCGTTCTGCAGCAGTTTTGTGGGATCCTGGCAGAGGTCACAGTGGTCTGGAGAGTGAGAGCAGGTCAAGCAGTCTGGGTGGCAATGAACTAAAATCAAGAACAAAGAGAACTCAGTAAAGACCATGAACTCCTCAGAAGAACCCACATGACACATGCGTTCCACAGATTAGAAAGCACAGAGAACTACAGAACTCAGGTAAAAATGACCCCAAATAGCAAAAATACATTTTGATGCAAGATTCCAAGATTCTCCCTGTCCAAAAAACCATCACCATCTTCCAAGAACAAGCTCCCTAATGCTTCCGCTGCTGCACTGACCCTAGAATCAACGTAACTACCTCCACGGGTGGTAACAAGCAGACTCGGTCATTCACGACATCTTCGATGCTCTTCTGAAGTTCTGGCATGCACAGAAAGCTCACAGTAAGTCTACAGTGATTTAAGCCAGTTTATTATCTTTAACAAATATGACCAGTTTTCCTTTTTCTTCGAAGTCTTAGCTCTCATCCCCAGTAACTGTGTTTATCACTCACCTCACTGGTAATGGTTACCAAAAGACTGTTTTCAGGTCTTAAAATTTATAAGGACCTGATTTTTTAAAAAATATGTAATACATCATGTGCTAAATATTTGGGAAGGTCCAGAGAGCCACTTTGGCAAAGGTACCATAATTAAATCATAAAGTTGCTCTGCTTTTCCCTTGATAAAGTCTTCATTGAAACTCTGTGATCAGCTAAAACAAGGCACGTGCAACAAGAGCAAATGCCAGCATGGGAAACTGGCCTGCAGATGAAACCAATTAATGTAGGAAATACAAGTGGACGAAAACACCACTTCTCCAAGACGGCCTACGCTTAGAGGGAAATCACTGCTTGGCCAGTGCAGTTCCAGCCTGCCAATGACTACTAACTGGAACTAATTCAATCCCAGGTGACTTAAAAGCACAACTGGAAAACAAGTAGGTAAAACTTTCTTTCGGAAGAAATTAATGAGTCTCTAAACTTTAAACTGTATCTGAGAACTGCAAAAGGAGCCATCTGTTCAACAGTTCACCTGAAAAATGGAAAGAACATCTACAACAAATTTGATACAATTATTCTTATGCTTTCAACAATAGATTAAAGATTATATTTAATTTTCACAATAATTTTTCAAGGTAAATAAGGTATATTTTATAAATAAGAAAACTAAGATGAGAGAGTGAATGATGTGCCAAAGTCACATTGCTGTAATCGGGTGAATTCAGCACTTCCATAGGCAAAGGTCAATTAAAATGATTTGTCAGAAAAATTAAGAAACAAACAAACCCCCCAAATTGAGCAACTAAAAATATATAGGGAGGAAAAAAAAATAGAACAACTCTGGATTTTCTTGACAATACAATCATCTCAGTAGAAACAAATTGAACATGGACCTACCTGGTGTGCAGTCAGGACAGCACTGTCCCTTCACCATGAGGGCAAGGGTGGCCACTGGACATGGTGGACATGAGGGCTCATAGCAAGTAACCTGAGCTTTCCGGCACTCACACACCTTGCAAGGACCATCTTCCCATTTCTTTCCCTCCTGCAACAAACAGTGAAGAAAGACACAACATCAGGGTGTGGTGACCCGGAAGAGAAGCTGCTGGGGAAGAAATGAGAGCTTCCGGTGTGACAAGTGAAGGCACCTCACCTGCCCTCCCAAATGAAATCAGACAACAATGAATTTAACAAGGACGGAATTTCTCCGTTGTTTTTAATTGGTTTCTTTTAATATGCAGCACCAATGGAATGACTTAGATAATGACCCAGATAAACTGGGAAGCACCCTAGAACAACCAGAATACATAAGAAGTATTTAAAATGTGTTTCTCAACACATTTCACCCCCCCAAACAAAACAAAACAAAACCACCAGAGTGTTACTACTTGTACCTAGTGATAAGCAGGTCCATTAAATTATACCTCTGTAATAACAATGGGAACCCTGGTTCAAACCCTGTATTTCCTTATAGTTACCATAGTCAGAGTAACCAGAAAGTCATTGTACTCTTAAAATTAAAGCCTTCATGGGCCCATTTTTGTGGGCTACAGATGTGCCATGAGCTTTCTCACCCTAAAAATTTCTTTATGGCTAAGCAAATTATGGAAATAAGCATGAGTAGTTTGACAGAGAATTCAAAATGATTCTAAAAGCAATTTCCTTTACAAGCCACTGACCCTGGAGATTGGAATGAGACAAAGGTCTCTTCTCAGACTGTACTGGGGTGATCAGAGTAAAAGCAGGAGAGAAGATTTTAAAATAAAAACTGGATAAAAAGCTCACCGAGCTAACTAACAACAATCAACAATCCACAGGACATTTAAAAAATATTTTTATTTATTATTTTTATGTGTATGAGTATTGTGCCTGCATTTGCATGTATGTAAGTGCACTTGTGTCATGAAATGCCCACAGAGGTCAGTAGAGGGCATCAGATCCCCTGGAACTGGAGTTACAGTTGGTTGTCAGTCAGTCGCCAGGTGGGTGCTGGGAATTGAACCCGGCTCTTCTGCAAGAGCAGCCAGTGCTCTTAAGCACTGAGTCATGTCTCCAGCCCCCACAGGACACTTTTAAAAAGTGAATGGAAAATGTAGGAAAACAGAGGAAGGTTGTCAAGAAAATGAAGATGATTTTCTTCCACTTTACAGCAGCCTGGGTTCCTAGATCTTTATTCACTAACACCCAAAATTGTAAATGTGCTGGTGTGAATAAACATGCATTTTTCCTCTAAAAAAAGACAAAATATTGTATTGCAAAACAACCTAGACAGAAGAAAAGCTCAGAGCTGTCTAAAACGAATCCTTCACCATCCTAAGGAGTTCTTTCTTCAACACTGTACCACACATGTAACCCCACCAACAGCCAAACTGCGTTTTCTAGGCTGGAGAAAATCTTTAGGAGCAAGCGGAAAGGACATGTAGAGGTGCTCAGAGTTAGCGAAATATAATTATCAGCTATAGAAAAGCAAGAAAAAGAACCAGAGCTCAGTGGATAAAAGTCCTAACTATTATTAAGATTAGTTCCTGACCATGGTGCCATCAAATGTCGCTGTTAAAAAATGCCAAGGCACTAAGTTCCCCATGGTAGTTCATGCAGACCATTACTTGAAACAATTTTGTAATGATCTATGGGTGAGTTAAAAATCCATACTTACTGGAATATGCTTAATTTTACTTGTATTTGAAGACATCTAGGAAGAAAGAAATGTATTTATGATACCAGTAAAAACACCATTAGGCTGATCTCCTTATTTTTCAATTAGGAGTTATCCATTTTCCCCCAAGTAGCATGCAGCTTCATTCACTTTTTATGAACAGAAATAAAATCTATCTACATCAGAAACAAGAAAAAAAAATATCAATATGAAGTGAAGACAGCATGCCGAAGAAACATTTTTGAGTCTTATTCTTTTTTTCAATATATATTTTTGAATTTTTGTGTATTTCATACAATACATCTTAATCGTATTTAGACCCCTCACATATCTATACCTCTCCATAGCCCCCACCAGATTTTATGCATTCTGTCATCTAGGCCTATAGAGCCAATCTTGAGTCTTACCCTTGCTTCATTCTTGAGCACATAGCTTCCATTTCCCTCAGTATTAAAGGCTTTGTGGTCAAGGAGTCTAAACTTCTAAATCCAAATTTTGAATTTTTATGCACCAGACCAGTATGGAGATTTGTACTTATTAATAACAACTTGGTTTTCTTTAATTCCACTGGGTTTAATTTACTTTCAAAAAGTAAGTAGAAAGACTGATACCCAGATCAAAATAATATAAATTCAATAGTTAGAGGGAGACATTAATCTTCTAAGTTCTTAAAACAATGAGGATGAGTAAACTATGCAGTATCCACGAGATAATGACAGCATTCTAAGAATATCAATGTTTTCAGCTAAAAAATATGCCACCAACTGTTCTAAGTGTTTTACTTATATCATCTCAATAGGCCCAGGAAGTAAGTGACACTGTTATTCACACTATATAAGGAGGACCAGGCAACTTGCCCAAGATCATAGTTAGCATGTGACTGAGGAGGGATTTGAACTTACAGCCTGCCCTGTTGATCTTATACTGCTACCTTTCAGAATATACAGAAGTCAATATACAGATGGATGGACCTGTCCACCAGGCAGAGCACTTAGTACCAGTTCTTAGAATCTCATTCTGATTGATCAATGAAACCACTTTATTTATGATCAACTGGAATATTTTTAAGAACACAATGAATCTTTCAACATCCCAAAACCCACATGGAAAATATGGGCTTCAAAAGGGGGGCTTCAGAGATAGCTCAGTTGGTAAAGTGTCTGCCACATAAGCATAAGAACCTGAGTTTGAGCTCTATAACCCAGGTGAAAAAAGTCAGATGTGGAGGCATGTGATTACAGCCCTAACACTGGGGAAATGAGACAGGCAAATACCTGGGGCTCATTGGCCAGCCAGTATGGCCTATTTGAGCTACAGACCACTGAGAAAACCAGTCTCAAAAAATAAGGACTCTGGGGGCTGGAGAGATGGCTCAGTGGTTAAGAGCACTAAGAGCTCTTGCAGAGGACCTGGGTTGGATTCCCGGCACTCACATGGTGGCTATGAACTGTCTTTAACTCCAGTTAATTGCACGATACGGGTGCACTGACATACATGCAGGCAATACACTCACACATGTAAAAATAATAAATAAAATATTTTTTAAAAAAGGAATCTGAGGAATGATACCAGAGGTTGACTTCTGGCTTCCACATGCACATGCGGTGAACACTCAGGTATGCATGTAGGACAAACTTAAAGAGATTAAGGGAATTTTTCCCCCTCTGGTGTAATCTAACAAACAATCACAAACACAGGGAGAAATGAAACTAGTAAGTAGAGCTTCATCCCACATCCAATCCATCAAAATCCTGTCATTATTTATTTTTAATTGTGTGTGTGTGTGTGTGTACCATAGTTCTTATGTAGTGGTCAGAAGACAATTTTTGGAACACGGTCTGGGGATTGAACTCTGGTTGTCAGGCTTGCATAGCAAATACTTTTATCCACTGGGCCATCTCATCAGCCAAAATTCCCCATTTCTATCTGCAAAGTGAATCTAGAGCCTCGTCATTACTACTTTCTCCCTAGACCAAGCTACCATCACCCTTCATCTAGATGATTGTAAAACTCTCCTAACAAAGTCCTTACTCTCATCCCGTTCAGAGTTTTGGCCTATGTAGCAATCAAAGTGATCCTTTCTAAGACCAATCATGGCACTGCAGGGCTATAAGTTCCCCCTTTTAATCCGTTCTGCCTAAGGTAAAGATCCTGGCTTCTAGGTTGCTTATTAGCCCTTATCTCTTAACTCCTTTCTCTCCCATTCTCTTTGTTCCAGACTTAGTTGCTCTCTTGCAGTTTTCTGAACAGGCCAAGCATACGTCCACCTTAGCATAGCTGTATCATTTGTGGCTCCTCTTCCTGGTATGTCCCCAGATTTCTCTGCATGAAGGACTTCTCTGTTCATCTTATGTTAAAAGAAAAAGCCATCTCCTACCAAAGTTCAGTTACTTAAGTGCTTGTCAGCACCAGTGTGTATGTGTCTGTTTTCCAACACTAGAAATACCCTCCACCTTGAGAGCAGACTCACCGTCACACTCACTTCTCCATCCCCAGTACCTAGCACATTTTAGGTGCATATGTAATAATGCTTTTTGAACAAATGAATGGGTTTAAAAAGCCAGGAGGTAATAAAGTTTCCCTTATTAAGCTAATTTTAAGCTATTAATTTTAATAGTCTTTAGTCATTAACCTGATACTCACAATTTCTGCCTTCTGTTCATAAACACAGTAACCATTCCTTGAAATGCATTCAGGGCAGCATTTTCCTTCTAAGTGAACTAATTCTTCACCCTGTAGAAATAAGAGTTGCAGTGGTACATATCAAATGAACATCTCCAGGTAGCATTGCTAAATTGGGAAGCAGCTGGGCTCCTGACTGGAATGCGAAGTTGGCAAACCTTTCCCTTTGGTCCACTGCTTACTTCATCCCCTCCCCCCTCCCCCCGCCTACCCCCCCGCCCCGCCGCCACACACACACACACACACACACACACACTGTACTGTCTTCTTTTGCAGAGTCTCATTATTCTAGTCCACCCCCAAGTGCTTTTCTTCCCCTGTTATGATAACAAGGTGTGTTTGCTCTACTCCCCCACATATCCCACAATTACCTACCCATGACCAGCAGCTCACAGGAGTAAGTAGGATGGACAAGGTTAATGTTAGAGTGCAGCAAAGATGAGTTGCAGAGAAGATCACATTATCTCAGACATATAAGGTTCGAATCTGTGGCTTTTGTGTCATTAATAGCATGCAAATCAAATCAGCATTTTTCCCTGAATCCTAAATCAGATGTATCCTTCTATGCACAAATGTAGTCAAAGTCATAAATTAAACAATAGAAAACTACTTTTTACTCAGCATTCTGCAACTCTTAGTGTTAGCCACTGACAGCTAATTTTCTTCTTGATTATAAGAGGAAGAAGAGAAATACCATGTTTGGAAGACTGATGTTTGTTTACAAAGTCTCACCACTTTAATATTTAATAATTTCAAAATTAGTTTTATTATAAAATAATGAATGCTTGCTGTTTAAAAATTTAAATAATTCTCAATTCTACAGCTTTGAAAGTTTAAAATCTACTGCAGTTCTACCTTTCAGGGAATTTGCTGCTAAAATTACAAACTCAGCTTGCAATTTTTTCTATGTATACACTAACATATAATACTTAGAGGACAAAGAATACTCCTTAAAGCATGTCTAGTTTTTAAAGATATATTTAATTTCTAATGAATGATAATGTTTCTTTGAATATTTAATATTTAATTTATGGTCCATTGTATTTAAAAGTATAGAAACTATATTAAATAGAAATAATACTGTAAAGTTAAATAACCATATTAAATAATGACATTTTGCATTTTAAACACAATATTAAAGAAAAATACAATGTAAAAGCATTAGTTGTCCTTGGGTTATAGCAATAAGAATGGATTTTTAGGCTTTCTTCAACCTTCCTTGACTCTTCAAGATCTTCCAGAATGAACATTTTTTTTATGAAAGAAAATATAAATTTCTAAAAAACACAAAATTATATCAATAAAAATATGAACTTCCAATTTTTATGATGTCTAAGAGGTTATTTCAAAAAGAAGGGAGTTATATAGATTACTGTCTATCACTGCCATCAGAGGCCAACAGAGAGCAGTGGGTGTAGTGGGGATCAGACATATTTACATATAAATTGTTTTGCACAAACACAAAGAATCAGCTGGCAGTGAAGGCATCACTGAGAAACATATTGAAATTTGCTTTCAAAGCATATAGAAGAGTTTATATGCATGTAATCTAAGTTGCTTAAAACAATATTTTCAAACAAGACAGAGTATGTACTTCTGTTAAAGACAAAACGCAGGAGAGATTCTTGAGTGCTTGCAACAACCCATGCAGGGGAGAAGAGGGCTGTTCTGAGCCTTCAAACACAGCAGCAAGTACCAAAAAGCCTTGCTCCTTGGAACAAGGATTCAGTTTTGGTGAGGTAGGAAGGTCTAAACAGATTTACTATTTATAGAAGTCTGGCTGTCCTCAACTTTTCCTCATCAATTAGCATGTGACTTTTGCTTTGAACAGAACAGAATTGTGACACAAACTCCTTCATGTTTTTAAGAGGATTTGCCTATAGAAATTGGATCAAATCTGCTACACCTTCCCCATTGAATAGCTATACCCATGAGAACAAAGACTCTGGAATTCAACATAATTTCTTGCCACTGGGGAGGGGAAAGCACCTCATTTGGGCATGTCTTCCCTGCTCAATGTGCTACAAGCTCCATCCCCTCATCATATTATCAGATGTGAATACAAGGTCCTTTTAAGAAAAAAAAAGATAATTTGATATCTCCATCTGAATTTGTGTTCAAAGACACAAAACACAGAAATATAAAATCCATCAACAGTGTGTTATTCTATCATTGATTAATTTACGTTTCAGTGTCTAGGGATTGGATACATCATTTGATTGGATACATCAAAGACAAGGATAATTCCATTTTCTCCCTTTTTTAACAAAGAAAAATTACGTGTTGATTTCAAGGCTATTCAGAACATTGCTGCTCACTGATTCGCCAGTAATCCTAATGGGGAGGCTGCATAGCTCCTGTAGTTTACATGGCTGCAGCTTCCTGTAGATGCTCAAACACTAACACCTATGCACCCGTGGTCTCCATGGATAGAAATCAAACGACCTTGGTATTTTACAGAGGAAGCTGACAGTGGGGCGAAACTGGATGAAACTACCACAGCACACTTCGGAGCTCCCCTCAGAGACAATCATTTCCCTCAGGAGCTACGAAGGCTTTTAACTCATATTTCCATAATCCTTAGTGTTCCTGTGGAACCTCCATGCAGAATAATTTCTGTTTATATTTCTGACTTCCCCAGATCCTGGGAACTCTCAAGGTCGTGGTGCGCCTTATTCATCTTTTTATGATACAGGCAAACGAGATATTAAGAAGCTATTAGTACATCCAGGATTTAACAAGGTCATTAACCAAAGCTAATTTCTGAAGTATGGTATATAAAGAAGACTGGAGAGTTTGTTTTGTTTTTATTTTTCATACGATTCAATTTTGGTTGAAATTTTACTACTGGCAGTATTTCCAGTTAGAATCTACTAACACAAAAACTGGAGGATGTGGAGATAATCTGGAAGAAATTAAAGTTGTCTGGGGGCTTTAGAACCTCAATCCATAAAAGCAAACATGGAAAATAGAAAAGGATGACAGTGTCCCAGGGTGGCCGCTCTCCGCTCCAGCAGGTCTCCTCACTTCCCTCGAGGACAGACGAAGGGCCTGGCTTATGCCACCAGTCAGGTGCCAGGACTAAAGCAAGCCGAAAAGTAGGCACGTGGAAGGACATTGCCAGAGGGGGGCATGTCTTAGGCTACATTCTGTGAGGGAACTGAGAATAAGTGATTAAAGAAACCAGCTGACCAGGGCCATCTCCCCATTTTCCATCAACCTTGAACTATTAGACGCATTAAAACCTTGGAAAATAACCCAGCATCCTCAGCGTGGACCACAGAGGCAAGGAAGCCCCGCCCCAGCCTGCAAGACAGAGAAAGGGCCCCAGATGAGTTTCTTCTCATCTCTGTCTGACCATTCTGACTCCTGTCACGTAAGGACAAAGAAATGAAAAGGTGTATGGGAGTGAATAAATCTACAAGAAAGGAAGACCCTCTCTGCCTAAGTATGTTTCAGCTCTGCCAAGACGAAGATGCAGGAAGGAAAATGAAAAATATCCCTGTCAGTGACAGCCTTGTTTGAAAGCTTGCTGGTCCTTAGGCTCAGTGCTCAGAGGAGCTGGAAAGTGGGGGAGAGGTAGAAAGGATGCCCTCACTGACCCTCATGTTTCAGATCTCTCCAGCTTCCCTGTCTCCTCAAGTTTGCAACCCTGAGGGAACTTGGTGGGGCGGATGGGAGCGGCCCCAGTGCAGCCGTCCCAAAGCAGAAGACTTTAAAAGCAATTTGTTTTGTCATGGGTCAAGACTGAGTTCAAAGGAAAAAAAGAAGTAATTTTCTTAAAATATACATTTATAGTCCAGACAGAAGCTGCTATATGAGAAGCTTCTAGAAATTTTACAGATAGCAGAAGTTAACAGAGGTCAACAGAGTTAATTGTTTATGAGGTCCCCCTTGCTCGCTTTAGAAACAAACCCATTTTCTTTTCTTTCCTGGTCCATGGGCGATGTGCACACAGGTGCAGCCAGTGGGGCCTGCACCAGCACTCAGGCCCTGGCCAGACCTGCAGGCCCCTGTGTCACAGCCAGAGTGAGCTGGGCAGACCACTAGTAATGAGGTCCAGCTGCACTGACTGATAGGCTAATGTCCCATGTCATGTCCTTCACTTTCATGCCTCTAGCTAGGGTCTTTCAATCTGAACAGATGTACTGAAAGGTAAATGCTGTTCCAAGCTAGTCTGAACAAACAGTGACAGTCACTTTACATCAGAGAATCCCTGTGCTAAGGGCCTCCTGCAAATGTAAGCAATCAGCCTGGCATTTCCTCTGCTGCCAGGAGAGAAGAGACAGGCTCTGGGGCCACTAATTTGCTGGAAGGAGCTGCCACACCCCAAATGGAAAAGCCTTCGCTTCTTACCCGGGCACAGGTCACCTTGGCACACTGTCCCATCTGGCAGGTCACTTGGCCCTGGTCACACATGCAGAACTCACAAGCTGAGCCCTTCCACATTTCATCCTGGTACCGCATGATTCCATTAGATGAGCAGCTTGGGACAGGAGACACACATTCTTCACAGCACTGCCCATGATGCCGGGCCCTACTCTGACCCTGGGAAAATAGGGAAGGGTAGGGTAAGGGCAGTCATCAGGAGACAGTGGAAATATCTCAGCCAATACAGAAACACCAACAGTGTATAACACAACCCCTCCTGACCCAGGAGGACAGTTAACCCTTCTGCCAAGGGAGCAGACCTTCTATATCTTTGTATAACATTTTGCATGTTATAAAACTTTTGATTCTCTTAAAGGACACACTAGACTAAGAAATGCATTTCTTAAATGGCCCAGAATCAAGATTAGAAAATTGAACTACATGCTCTCAAATACCTTTTCACATCTCAGTGGCGGGCAGTCCTGTTTGTGACACCTGACCTCTCCCTGGTCACATGTGCACAAGGTACAGGCATCTTCTTTCCACTGCTCTCCATGCTGAGAAAGAAAGGAGGAAGGGCACATCAAGCGCCGCACACACAGGCACATACTTTCTCATTACAATTTTCTTTTTAACACAATTACATCAAAAGTACTCCTGAGAAGTGAAATCATATAGGTAGAAATGGTCTCTAAGAAAAAAGTCAATAAATACCCAAAGGAAACTCTGGATAGGTTTTCAATGGATTCTATGGAAGTAATCTGCCAAGGGTCACAGCATGTAGAGGCCCTGGGAACACGGAGATGAACAGGAATGCCCTGTTGGCTGGCTCCACTATGGGCATCCCATAGGTCTTCTTTGCCAGAAGATTCTGACATAGCCTCATTTTCTCAACTTCCCTTGTACCTAGGGAATGGACATTGTTCTGGGTTTGCTCAGAGAGTGGACATCAAAGAAAGGAATTTTTTCCACTTCTTTCTTCTATCAGCTAGTAGCAATGAGTGTATAGGAATGAGCACCTGGCACTAACAACGTCACCTGAGGGCATGAAGGGGCAAGAGAAGGCAAACACCCACATGACCACAACAGAGACCTGAACTGACCAACCTGCAACTCCCTATTCAGGACATCTTGTCATCTGTGATGATGATATTGTTTTAGTCATTTTAGGGGGAATGTCTGACACTTGCAGTGCCACACATTTTAATAGTTATAAAATTAGCCTCTTGAAGGAAATCTAGCATAAGCCTGTCCAACAATATCATTGAGGCTGCATAGAAGGCTGCGGTGTTGGAGAACGTATACAATACATGCCTGCATCCTTTCCCCATTGGTTAGTTCATCCAGATTGCAAGAGAACCATCTAGAATTGCCGAGAGGCTGATTCCAGATTCTCTACTGACAGTCATAATCCCAATGTCGAAATAGTCTAGCCTTTCTTAGAGTGGCTAGTAGGCAAGAAAAGAAACTGGGTTTATTTTTAATAAGTTTTCTGCTTTAGAATAATATGATCTTTTCATACATCTGGGCACTCCCAGACAGAGCATTCATTCATTCATTCATTCATTCATTTGTTCATTCGTTTGGTTTGTCAAACTCCTCTTTACTTGGTACCTAGTACAGAAACGATGCAATAGCAGAAACTGCTTTAATAGTACTGCTAAGCTTGTAGTTTCCTCCACCTCCAGCTTCTCACCTACCTGACGAGTCTCCCCTGCCACCCCTAGGCTTACTCCCAGGGTAAGATGGGATAGGGCTGTCCCTGGATATTAGTGCACAAAATCCAGTCAAAGAGGAAGACAGACCCGAAGCTTAAAAGCTGAGTGTAAACAGCCAGTCAGCAATGGATAGCCCTTTTTTACTCAGTATGCATGTGAACAGTAAGTTTCCCCAATGTTCATGAACCAGTTTCTGCTTGCCAGCACATTCTTTAATATTTCTAATCTCTTTCAACTTGATTTTTTTTCATAAAGGCTTTTTATGTGTAAAGAAAAAGCCATTTATGTACTGGGTTACTAATCTTCACAATGAATCTGATAAGGAGGTTGAGAGATTTGGTGGTTGGAAAGCCTGGGGCAGATGTGTGAGAACATATGTCAGAACACCCACACAGTGTACACCAAAGGTTACCTCGTATACGTGGCCAGCTGCAGAGCAGGATCTGGCAGAGCACTGTGGGCAGCATTTTCCAGGGACTCGGACTACAATTTCATCCTGACATCCAAAGAAAGAACAACCCATCAAAAGAAAGGTATTAATAAAATCTACATCAGTAGGAAAATCTAATTCACAGCCAACTCAACCACACAACTCAAGCATCCCTACCAGCAATTTCCTATCCTTTAGCACTTATTTGTAACCTAGGGATATGATGAGAATCAGTACTTAGAAGGTCAGTGTGAACCTTAGGAAGTTTGTGTATGTCGTGTCATCTATGAAGAACAAATAAAAACAAAAACGACAATAACAATGATTTTTTTTTGGCCAGGCACCATTCTAAGTGTTTGTCATAACTCTGTGTGGTAGACTATCTTATTCCAGCCTTAAATGGAATAGTAAAAAATAGAGAAATCATGCCTAAGGTTATATGAATGACTAGCAATGGCAAATGGCTGAAATAAAACTTTCCAGTGTTGGGGCTGGACAGTTGGCTCAGTGGTTAAAAGCATTGGCTGCTCTTGCAGAGGCGAGATTCAATTCCCATCACCAACATGGCAGTTAACAACCATCAGTAACCCTGGTTCCAGAGGATCTGATATCCTCTTCTGACCTCCAAAAACACTGCAGGACAGGGCTGCACCTACCTACATACAGGCAATAGACTCATTCACAAGAAATAAAAATAATAAATAAAAAAATTAAAAACAACTTTCAAGTGTCAACCATATTAACATTTAAGAACACCTGTACTCCTCTTGACTTACATCTAAACTCGAAGACAAAGGTACCCCTTCTTTGATTGGCTATTTCTCTATTTTCGTATCTTTATATTAACTCATATTTTATATAAGTGCATTAGGGGAGTCCTTAACATGACAAAGAATGAATTATCCTTTGGAAGTCTGAGAACAAGCCAGTGTAGAGAAACATGACAGAGATCAAATGCCTAAAGAACCAACCTCAACTGCCCTTTCTCTACATTCTCAGGTCTACAACTACAACCCCTATGCCAGAAAATTAGGGTACTTATCTGTGTTGCCCTACAAGAGTTCTCAAAGCAACAGTGTCCTTCTTAATGACAAGGAGTCCGCTTCCCCCTGACTACGGCAGCAGTCTTCAATGGCAGGAAGGAGGACTAATAAAAGGGAAGTGAAGGGTGAGAATAGACTAAGAAGTGGTAGGTCTATGCAGACAATAGAAACCTCCAGAACAGCTACTTCCACTTCCTCCCATAAGAAGCAGAGATAGGCTTGACTGTCATAGTTATTCTGATACTCATTTGGAAAAAACAAAGTCCAGAACACCTGAGACAGAAGGGGCAGGGGTCATGTGACCTTAACTTTCCATAGAAAGTTCCAGTCAGATGCTTCCATGGTCACTTAATCCAGTTACATATTAACATCTGGATTCATGCTTCACTATCTGATGAGTTTACTGCAATACGTGAACCACTGGAATTAAACCAGTAACTATTTTCTTGTTTGAGATATCATTTCTTTATTATTCTGTATGCAGAGTATTATGATGATTGATGCTCAATAGAATGTGGCAACTAGGCAGTGAAATCACTGAGCATTTCTTGACTTCAGGATTCTGAAATGAAATTTTGGTTGCAGAAGGAGAGCGGAGGCATACCTGAAGCCCCCACTGTTGAGTGACTTTACTGCAGTAAAGAACTAAGCCTTGAACAGTTCCCAAATCTTAAATAGGAAGAGCTAGCTCCATATCTCTTCTTTTAAAGATTTGTTTTATTATTTATGCATATATGTACATGTCTATGTGTGTGCATGCACATATGTGTGCTGGTACCCACAGAAGCCAGAAGAGGGCTTCAAATTTCCTGGAGCTGGACTTATAAGCAGTTGTAAGTTGCTCAATGTGGGTGCTGGGAACCAAACTCATGTTATCTACAAAAGCAGCAAGTGCTCTTAACCAATGAGCCATCTCTCCAATCCGCCATCCCCTTGTGTCAGTCTATCTTAAGCAACATGGGATAGACACATCTACAACAAAGGCTTTTGTATGTTGTTCTGGCTTTCAGGTGTACAGATCCACCCAAATACAAGGCATAATTAGGACCAACAAATTCTGAACTGTGAACTCTGTCCATCTTACCACCTATTTATTTATTATTTTATGTGTATTCATGTATTGCCTGCATGTATGTAAGTGCACCTGTGTTGTGCAATGCCCAAGGAGGACAGAAGAAGGCATCAGATACTCTGGAACTGGAGTTACTGATGGTTGTTAGCCACCATATGGGTGCCGGGATTCAAACCTGGATCTTCTGCAATTATAGTCAGTGCTCTTAACTGTTGAGCCATCTCTCCAGCCCCCTTACCACCTATTTTTGTAAACTGTTTTACTGGATTATGACGACACCCCTACCCTCACATACCAGCCATGGCTGCTTTTGTGCTGCAGTGGCAGAGGTGAGCAGTTAGTCGACCTGTATTGCACACAAAGCTGAAACCACCTTTTTCAGAAAGAAGCCCAGTTCTAACATGATCTCCTCAGTAATCACAAGGATTCAGTACTAGAAAATATGATTAATATGATTACATTTGGGATGGTTGAATTATCAGGAAGGCTATATTCAATTATGGTTGTCCTTAAATAAAAATACTTGTGATAATGAGGCTTATAGTATATTAAAGCTGACAGCTCTTGACAGAATACCTTCCTACCACAAAACCTTGGAGGATATGGACGGAAAGGAGACTCTACCACCAAAAAAGTAGAACTGACAGGCATGTTCCCGCCACTGTCATCAAGTTCCACCAACTATGAGACACTGTGTGCCCTTCTCTTGCTGTGCAAAGACGCACAAATCATCTCCTACTAACTCTCACCCTTCCCAGATCAGAGTTCAGCCTTCACACACTGCTATGTGAAGCAGGCAGAGTGCCAGATCGGATTCTCACCTCTTACAATATCTTTCTTTCTACATTTAGTCAGAATCCATAACGTCAACAGCACAACAAAATGAGGGGGAAATGCATGTGTTAAAGAGGTATAGAAAGTGATATAAATGGGGGCTGGAGAGATGGCTCAGCAGTTAAGAACACTGACTGTTCTTGCAGAAGCCCCAGATTCAAATCCCGGCACCCAGCCTCTTCTGTCTTCTGAGGGCATTGCATGTCATGGATGCACTTACTTACATGCAGGCATAACACTCATACACATAAAATAAAAATAATAAATAAAATTTAAAAATAAAAATTAGAAAAGAAAGTGATAAAAATAAAACTGGGTGCTTAAACATAAAAATCACAATCAGAGAAAGAAATGGGAAAGGCCCTTGCAACAGGGCACACCAGGGATGACAGTTCTTGTTTCCTGTGTTCAGAATGTAAGTGGGCTGAACATGGGCAAAGATCTGATCTCAGTATAACTATACTTATCAGAGCTCTGGGCTAAGGATATGCCATTTCCTAGCACCTGGCCATGGATCCAAGAGGAGAAAGAGACAGGACAGGTCACTATACCTGCAGTTTCCAGGCAGTGGGTGTGGAAAGATTTTTCTTAAACAAGAATAAAAAAATGATGTGAGAAGAAAACCCTGAAAAATGAGCTGTAAGAGAGGAAAAATGCAATCTATTCATGTCGGACCCCAAATGTTATTGAGAGCTGGTCACTCTACAATAAACAAAAGAGAACCATGTAAATTTATTTAAGTTTTCATTGACACAGAAGTCTTTATAAGGAAATGAAGACCCAAAGAGACAAACTTGAATGACTCACTTTGTTTTGTTTCTTTTCTTTTCTTTTGTTTGTTTTTCTTGTGCTGGAGATTGAACCCAGAGCTTCAAGCATCCTAAGTAAGATCTGTAGTACTGAACTACACCCAGCCTTGAATGAGTTTTATAGATTTGATGAGGAGTGAATGCCCATGGGGAAGTACAAGAGAGCAGAAGTCATGATAATAATAAACTGGGAGAATGAAGCAAGGGCTGTTGGTTTACTTTCTGCTCTGGGTCGCTGGGTCTTCAGTACTGAGAATAGTAAAATAAACTCAAGAAGTTATCTCCAAAGCCAAGGAAAGACATAATAGATTATGAGAACATGATTGATAAAGAGAATAGCAACCTGAGTCATACATGTTTCTAAGGAAATGAGAAAAATTAGAACAGAGGTGATTAATCAGCACCAAAGGGGGGGGGGTACATTTCAAATACTGGTATACAGTCTGAAAGGGTTCTATATTCCAGGATAATATGAGAAGTGATATATACATATAAGGCTTCGTCTCTCGACAATGATCATAACTATCCTGATCATTGCCACCAACTTGCCCACTAGTGACCCTCACATGTATCCCAAGCCCCATTGAATAGCATCATCCAGATAGTCTGCCAAGCACATATGCTGGCACTGATGTTGGACATGTCAATAGGTTTTGAGAAAGGCTGCATACATTCTGGTAGATGGTGGCCCACATTTATTTAGGTTAGCATAAAAATGACATCCTCCTTTCTCAAGATGTAGACATCCACCTATCTTGCTGCAACCCAAGACACATTCTGTCCTTAAGTCCCCCGTGAACTCCATTGTGTGTGAATGTGAACCTATCTGCTTCATTTTCAGTCTCACAGCCGCTTGTATCTTTGGCAGACAGCTCTCACACATGGGAAACAAGTTTTTCCAAACAGTATTTCACCTAGAAATGTCCTAGAAGATGTTTGAATAGCATCCTACAAGAATGTATCATGGCAACACTAGCTGTATATTATGGGATAGAAAGGGCACACATTACCAGAGAACTAGAAAATCACCTTGGTCCTTGGGTGAGAGGAACTGAGGTTAGAGATGTCGCCCCTACAGCACCTTCCCATACAGAACCAAACATGAGACCAGAAGATAGTTAAGGTAATAAAAGCAGAGCACAGGGAAAGGATTGCATGCCTTCCAACAAGGGTCAAGGCAGGAGAACACACAGACCTCAGACTTCTCTATAACAGTACAACCCCAAATTCAGTGAAAATGATCTCTGTCACTCTAAATTTTAGGCTCCAAATTGTCTTTTAATGTATATAGACAACAAGAAAATAATTCTCAAGTATTAGAGACTCAGAGGACATACTAATCATTTTCTTCATAAAAATTATTCAAAAATTAAGTTCAAATTGCTCAGATAAATCAATAATAAGAAACTGTGATGTTAAAAATGGTGAACCAAAAATCTGATCATTGACAGGGTACTTGTCAAGCAGGCTTGAGGCCCTAAGTTGAATCCCCAAGAGCACACTAAATAAGCTAGTAAGCAAATAAATAAATAAATAAGTGATGGTAATATCATCAGGAACAATTCTCATCAGGCTGCACAGATCCTCTCAGTGAGCCCAGATAAAGGTGACTGGGGATATGGTTCAGTTCACAAAGCACTTGAACAAAAGTTGAGGACAGGCAACTTCAGTATGAAATCAATCCTTCATTACGGGAACAACTCATCATTTGAACCCAAACATTTTTACTATGGATTATCACCAATTTTAATGATACAAATATGCAAAGGTCCCTATTTGTCTGTCAGGAATGGAATAAATTATCAAACAAAGAAATACTAGATTAGGAATTTTTGCTTTCTTCCTTTCCAAGCTTGTCTTAAGGAGCACAAACTCCTGTTATAACTAAAACAAAACAAATCAGCCTTGTGTTACAAGTCATAGACATTCTTAAAGAGAGGACTGTTGCAGAGATCAAGCCTTAGAAACTGCATTTCTAGTGATGAACTTGTCCTTTTCTTACACTCGAAGAACTAAGGCATGTAAAAATGCTTTCAGTCGCTCTTCATTATGTTAGCAAATATTATTTCTGTAATTATTATGCCTAAATACTATATGGCTCATTTTGCAAGCAAGGTAGCATAATGATTAGAAACACGAGTCAGACACATCTTCTGAGGTTCTAGTGTAAACCTGCTGAGTAAGAAATACTAACACTTGCTAACCGTGGTATCTCGAGCAAGTTATTTACCCTCCCCACACCCCTGTTTCATCAGACATAAAATGAAGAAGATAATAATTGCTCCTACTCTAGGGCTGTTATAAGAATTACAAAACCCTTAAAGTTAACGACTGATGCATGTCAAACACCTGAACTGTGATGGTGGTGGTAGCAGTGGCAGTGGTAATGGCAACTGTGCAGGTACAGGCAGGATAAGGTGTTATATCAACAACACCAGTCCTATGGCACTCCTCTGTAGCACTGAAACATCCAATATTTCATAGTGATATTGAATCAATATAATTAGTTCTAAATGATCTGTGGGTTTTCAAATATATATATAGTGATGGCAAAAATGAAGACAATGAGACAAAAGTGGCTGAGATTATCTACAACACAAGCATTGTACCAAATTCCACTTTTTTGCATTATTGTACCTATTGATTTAAACTATGAATGAATACTCTGAATGAAGCAAGAATTTGTGGCTAATGTTTTCACAGGAGAAACAGTCCTTCCAATTATTCCAGTGTCTGCCCCCCTAAAATGCGTGTGTGGCTGAGTATTTTAAGAGTTAAAGCAGAAGAGCCCCAACAGGCCTCCCTTTTTCTCCCTCTTCTTTATTGTAAGGGCAGCAAACTGCCCAATTGCCCTTACTACGCAAGAAGAATGAACTCCCATATGCATTAGTGCTCAACATGACAGCTCCATCCAATCCAAGAGCAGGGGGCGGGATCCCACGCAGCTCCAAGATGCTCACCTGTGATCTCAAGCTAGGACAAGTCTTAGTGATCAATTGGGAGCTGAGCCATGAGTATAGTTGTTGGGGTAACCCAGTCTTCAATTAGATACATTTCGCTTGATTTGGCATTTAGCATTTCTTGTCTAATTGCCTTTCATCTGCCTTTAAAAATATTGCCCAATTGTCACAATATGCCTTGTTATTGATTTTGTTTTATTTGACAGAAAGTGCTGCTCTGTATCAACTAAATCTTGGTTTCCAGCTTTTCCACAGATCAAAAATGAGCTATTTTTCCACTGGAGGCAAAACTCCTTTCACAGTTATCTGTCAACATCCATGGAACATCCTTAGGAGCCTCTGGAAGAGTTTTTTTTTTTTTTTTTTTTTTTTTTTAAAAACCTATACAATCCCATGAAGAGCACATTTATTTGTAATTGATTTTCTCTTCCAGATTTGTGTGAGCAGCCTAATGTTTTGAAAATCAGTTTCAAACGAAGAACAAGAGCCCACTATCTAAACATCCCCAGAGAAAATCTTTTGGTAATTTGAATCATTATCCTATAAGAATTAAATTATGTACAACTGGATAAACATATTCAAAGATGTGTATGTGTCTTTAAAGAGTAGACTGCACCTATATGCGGGAGAAAAAGTAAGGAACTTGATCATATTGCCATGTTTTCCAGATGTTTAGCTCGACGTTTTTGGAACATCTGCATTTCAAGCCAGAGGCTTCCTTATGCAGACCCTCAAGGCTCAGTTTCATTGCACAATTTGCCTAAATAGCTGGTAATTAGACATATCTGTATCTTCTAGGAGGAAAAGAAACATCTCCAATATTGTCTCCAAAAGTATAAGGAGAATGAAAAAGCCCTGGCTTCTTGTTTCTAGTACTTCTGGGACTGCAGGACAGTATCTCAGAAGACTCCAAATTCTTGGCCATTAGTACCCTGTGAAAAGTCCACTCAAACATTATCCTCCTTACCTGGTTACAAAACAGAGGCTGACATTGAGCTGAGAAGCACTGGATGATCCCATTTCTGCATACACACTTGGCACAGTGGCTCAGCCTCCAGTCCTCTCCATCCTGAAACACTTGGCCCTCATAGGAACAGGGTTCTGGAAGGTCCAAGGCATAGAGTTATGTTAGGAGGCAGAATGCGTGTACTGACTCAGGGACCACAGTACACAGGAGGAAGCCCTATCCAGGGCTCAATGCTCTGCAATTGCTACTTGGTATCTCTGAAACTGGTCAGTTAGTGAAGTAGAGGTTTAGAGCCTTAGCTCACCCATGGGCCAGTCTCCTGCTGACTTCCCGAGATATATTCTCAGTTGCCCACTCCCCAATCCTTTCTACCCAATCAGGAAACTTAGTGCTAGGGAAGTAATGTGTCCTATGTATCATATCTCAAGGTGAGGCCCAGGGTGTCTGGGAGCAGGTCCACTCACCCTTGAGCACCTCCAAGCCCCAGGAAGCAAATACAAAACACAGTATGTTCACAGAGATTCCATGGAGTGCAAAGCAAACGCTTCCTCTTGCATTTTGAACCAGAGATGCATTTCTACCAGTTAGGTGGTTGCTGCTAGCTGATGCTCTATCTCTTGAGGCAAAATGTTTTCAATACGTCTTTCTTATAGGGGACCAATGAGAAACCCTCTTAAGATCTAAGAGTGAATTCCACAAACTCAGCACGTTCCCCCACACTATCCCCACTCCATCACTTATATATTCTCACATGCAGGGAATTTGACCCAAAGCAGGTTACAGTGATAGTATCAGCTGGTGGGTAAGTTCTGAAGTGCATAAAGCAAGCATCCTACATTCATCATTTCCTGAGCACACTTTAAATCCCTGGTCTCGTTCTCTAGTGCAAAAAACTGTCAGGGATGGAATACCAGGGAAGTGGAAGGAAACCAGGGATCTTTTTGAAAAGGAAGAGGTAAGAATAGAGACTGCCTTCCAGATGCTACTGATAAAGAAATACTCTAATTATTATATGTCAGGGGAAAGTGTGATACAGCAATGATAAATCTTACTTATAACTCCACATGAATAGCTATAAAAGTAGAATGGGGCATATATATCTAAAATGTAATGAAAGGGGTCCATGGGCCAAGTATTCATTCTAGACAGGGCTTGCTGAGAGAAAGCTCGTTGCCTGGGTTTAAAGCACAAATAATCTGTTTAGTGAGATTGCAAGAAAGACAAATGAATGACCTCTTCTTGTCTTTATCTGGGAGAAAAATTCTACACCATCTCAAAGACCAGCTAACAAAACTGGTACTAACAGTACCAGTAGAGAACAGGTCTGGTCCTTCTCTCCAAGAAGGGTCAGGAGAAATGACCTTGGCCTTATGAAGTCAAATTGAAGGACTGTTTCCCTGTTCCTACTCCCTCTCGGGAGATGTAACAGAGGGAAGTAGATGACCAAGGCACAATATATAAATCAGAGACCAGTAGAATTCCAAGTTTGGAATGCAGGTTAAAGATCTGTTTCAGTCTCACTCTCTGAAACATCACTCCCTAACAAGTACAAGCCTTTGGTTCCAAAAGGAATGGGATTCCAGATTTTTGAGCCACACTGTACAAGAAAGCCAAGAGTTGAGGTATCACCATATAACCCCAAGGGCAGAGAGGAACCCTTCCCACCAGCTCATACTCACTCCCAGGGCCCACACAGATGGGGCAGCAGCTTCCTTCAGCCAGGAATTCCAGCTCCCGTGGTCCACACGACAAAGGTGGGCAGGGTTGGTGGGAGCATCTAACCTCCCCATGAGTGCAAGAGCACACCGTGCATGCAGAAGAGGCCCACTCAGTGCCGTGCTGTGTGTCAAGTAGGGAAAAAGAAAAAGAAAGTTAGTGCCAGACTCCAGACCTCTGTCAGCCAAATAGAAACAGACTTCACGCATACAAAATGAGGGTGGAGCTTGGGAAAGGTGGGGGATGACTGAGTTGGCAAGGTTGACTAGAGGCTGCAAATGTTCTCTGTCAAAGACCAATTCAAAAACCAACTCTTCTTTCTATTACCTCCAAGAGTTTGTATTTTAAAGTTTCAACAAAACACAAAATGAAATTAAAACGACACCAATCACATCATCTCAGTTTCTTTCCCTGCTGTTGTGATAAAATATCCTTGCAAAAGCAACCTAAGGGACAAAGGGTTTGTTCTTGTTTACAATGTACATTGTGTTAGAGTAGCCAAGGAGGCAGGAGCTTGAAGGAGTTAGCCACATTGCACCCACAATCAGGAAGCAGGGAGCCATGAATGCATTCTCCTGCTCATCTCCTTTTCTCCACTTACAGCCCCAAATACCATCCAGAGAAGGATGCTGCAGACCATGGGTGGATCTTGCCACTTTAATTAATGTAATCAAAATAACTCCCTACAAGCATGGCCAGAAGCCTGTCTCCTAGGTGATTCTAGATTCTGTCAAGTTGGCAATTAGCACTAACCATCACACCCATCATTTAAAAAATTATGAATCCCAAAGGAAAATACATACGCACACATTTACAGGGTCCTTCATAATGGTTCTACTGTGTATTTTGAGACAGTGGCTCACAGTACTGCCTCAGTTGGCCTGGAATCCCTGGATCTCAGCAATCTTCTTGTTTCAGCTTCCTAAGCAGCTGAGAACACAGGGGTATGCCACCACACCCAGGCTATGGGTTGCTTTTTTTTGTTTTGTTTTGTTGGTGGTGCTGGGACTTGAACCCAAGACCTTGCAAATGCTAAGCACACACTCAGCTACTACTGAGCTACACTTTTACCCCCAGAGCCTACCACTGTCAACAGTTCTCACTCTGATTTGCTTCCTTGTTTGACTTTCTATTCTGACTAGTTCCCATATTCTCATTCATGTTTGTTGTCCCTCTCCTTCTCTCTCTACATACTCACATACACATACCCAGGTCCGGTGATCTCATATTCCTAGGAACTGTAGAAGCAAGAAGAGGGCCCTACTCTCCTGTTTTCCCACAAACTGTAGAGCAAAAAACAATCCCAGTGATGCTCTTCATCCTATACGCTGGGTCAAGGCTAACATTCTATTAGTTAACCTATAGATCCAGTTTTTGAACAATCATATAATTTACCAAGTATCCGCTATATCTAAATTGGTCATTCTCAGATGTGATGCTGCGTGAACCAGCAAGTCAGCATCAACTTCTATGTGTACATGAACTGACCAGAGAAGCAGTGGTCTCAGCATTTAATCTCCATTGTAGAATGCACTAATGGTGCCCTTCCCAAGGTCTACAGTAACATTAGTTTAATGAATAAAGTTTTGTTTTCTCCTACAGCACTTTCTTAATTATTGGAATCTATTTCCCCTTTGACTCTTTGAAATCTAATGTATGATGGATATGTTTCAGCACAAATCACAAGTAGATGTTTATCAAAACACCACGTATTCCAAGCACTCAGTCACCAAAATATTCCGGGGATTACAACTAGAAATTGTAAGAAGCCATTCTCTTGCCTCTCTTCAAACTGGCACCCAGAAGAGTTTTCCATCTGCAACACAGAGACGCTAGATCTCATCTAAGCAAGTCGGGACTTCACTCTTTAATCATGCCAAGTCTAATATTACAGAATTAGGAAACTGTGGGCTATTATTGTAACAATCTCAGCATCAGGCAGTCATAGTAATCCAGTGATTTGGACATCACTTTAGTACCACACTACTCTCCTCTAGACTGACTTTCAGGGAGCCCAAGAGGGCAGTCATGCATGTGAGCACTGTTGGTCAAGCCAAGGATTTCATTGGCACAGCACATTGTTAGATACCAGCTCAGCCCTTCCTATGTTGGGAATGGAGTAGATGGCTTAACCTTTGCCAATCTTACTTCCTTGTCTAAACATGAAGTGGTGTGACAGTGCTCCCTTTACTGGATGCCTGTAACGTTTCAAAAGGTAGCATTTTGGACAGCCAACAAGGTCTCACATTGGCCCTCAGAAAGGACTCACATGGGATACAGCAGTGTTGACAGGGACTGCAGCAGATAGGTAATGGGAAAATGTTGCATAAATGGCACAAACGTTCAGTTGTAGGAAACCAGTTCTGAGGTCTGCTGTGCAGCATAGAACCATCAAGGTGATGGATATTCTGAGTAGTTTCATTGTGACATTACTGCACAATATAAATGTATTCCAAATCAGTGCAGTCAACACCCTGGATATAGTCAAGCTTTCCTCATCAATTCAATATTTTAAAATAAAAGAATGTCAGCCCTTCCCCTCTTCCTACTGTGAATTCATGGCTTTCTTCTTTTTCTTGTTTTCATTTTTGTTGACTGGTTGGCCGGTTGGGTTTTTTTTATACTTTTGTGCTGACTGTGCATAGAGGATGTAGACAAGAATGTAAAGGACAAGACCGCTCCCATTAATTTTTACTTCTATGTTATTGCATATGAATTTCAAATTTAGTATAGCAGACTATGGGCTAATAAAAGACTGAGGGTTGTTGACCATGACGCTTAGAAAAGCCGAAGCATAAAGCAAAGAAAGAGCTTACAAAAGAAAATCTGATAGTTTCTGATGAGTTAAAAGATACATATCTATGAAAAACGACAGTGCAAACAAAATTGAAAGACAAAACTGGCAAAAAGCACAAATTTTATAATTAGACACAAAAGCAATTAAAATTAGAAAAAGATAAACAGCTCAAATAAAATCTTGTCAATGAGCTAAGAGAAGATTTGGCTTTATTAAATGCACAGAAATGTTAAAATAAAAAAGGAGAGATGGCTCAGTGGTTAAGAGCACTGACTGCTCTTGCAGAGGACCTGGGTTCGATTCCCAGCACCCATATGACAGCTACAAACCGTCCTTAACTCCAGTTCCAGGGGAATCCGACTCCCTCTTCTGACCTTCACGGCATTGCACAACATGGGTGCACTCACATACATTCAGGCAACACGCTCATATACATAAAATAAAAACAATAAAAAATATTTTAAAAAAGAGTGTTGGGGCTGGAGAGATGGCTCAGTGGTTAAGAACACTGGTTGTTCTTGTAGAAGACCGGGGTTTGAATCCCAGCACCCACATGGCAGCTAACAACTGTCCATAACTACAGTTCCAGGGGATTCAACAGCCCCCTACATGCAGCACTTACCTACATGCAGGCATAACACTCATACACATAAAAATAATAAATAAAATATATATTTTTTTAAAAAGATAGAGTGTTGCTACTATCAGATACAGGGAGAATTTAAAATTCATAGTGTCTAGTATGGATGAAGCTGCAGAGTCCTGAGATTCTGACACACAGCGCTTCCTCTCATTAAAGCCCCTGTAATAAGGTAGCCAGTCGGGCCTCACCATGGTGGTCACACTTGAAGAGACTGCACTGATGGTGAGATCCCCAAGGGCCATTACTACACAAACAGCCTAATAACAAATAGTAAACATAGTAACCAAAACATGTAGCTTCTTTGTTCTAATAATTTAACCTTTAAAAAAGTTATCTGAAGAAAATGATCAATGATATACAAAAAGGTTTCAACTGATGGAATTCCATCTTGTTCTATATAGTCAAAGTGGAAACGTTTTAGTAAAAACTGAAAAGCTACCCAAAGGGCTAATAATAGAAAATAATGTTCTCCAAGAGTACGCTTGGCAACTATTTATAGTAGAATATTATGTAAAAAGGCAGGGCATCAACCATATAGTCAGCATTAATCCAGCTGTGTTAAAACATACATGTGTTGTCTATCTCTCTACATCTATATATCTGTCTATATATCTATCTGCCTGTCTGTCTGTCTATCTACCTACCTATCTCAACTGCTACCTCTCTTTCTAATACCACCAGTAAAACAGTCAAGAGAATATTAACTATGGTTGCAGAGTAATGAGATTACTTAGAATTTTATTTCTGTTTGTGTATTTTTCTATTTTCCAATTTTTCACCAATAAAATATTTTAATTTTTGTCATCACAAAGCAAATTACTACTTAAAATATGGGCAAAAATTAGGGTGGTATGGCTGTAGACATGGAGGCTGTTTCTAAATGTCTAGATATTTCAGTTCACTAAAACATGTTTTTGGCTACTACTGAAAATCAGACTCATTTCTAAAACATTTGTAATCACACCACCTTTCAGACACAGACCACAAAAATTAACTATAATAACAGCCTGTCAATCACCAAGGTTTCTCATTTGTAAAATGAAAGGGTTGTGTTAGCAGAGCCCCAGTACTTTGGGGCTCTGTGATCATGGAATCTATCATCCCACCCAAGAGACATGAAATTAAGCAATGGCTTTTCCTTTCACAAAAAATCCTGAGAATTATGGGAATAACAAAGATCACTCAGGAGGGAGACTCCATTGTTTCATGTCAAAGTCACAAAGATAGTTGCAGCTGGTGACCCAAAGCACACAAGGCAAGGAAAGAGAATTATGCACTCATGTCCCGAGAGGATGAGCCACATGTCTCCTCCATTTTTATCTTCTGCCTCGTTCTTCCCAAGTGTTCTGAGGATTGATAATGCATGCAAAGCACTCAGCCTGGAGATCAAGGGGTTCAGCACATGCCAAATTTCATTTCTACCTATATAAATAATTTCACAGTGTTCTCCATACCCATTTACAAAAGCATTATTTTTAATAAAACTGTGGCAGTAAAGAGAGCTACATAAAACCAAGGAGTAACAGATGCACCAAGCAATGCTCCCATAAGAACTAGTTTTAGCTGTGCCATCTTAACCTCATTAATACCCTTTTGAAAACAAGAGATTCTGACACTTGGCAAAAGCAAATTCTACAGACAACATCTTATATGCATTCTTCAGCAGAGTGAACTAACAAGTTAGCTTGAGTGTTGACATAAGTCCAAAAGAAAGATAAGGTCATAAAGCATTTGCTGGCTTACTGACAGAACAAAAAATATAATTTTTCTTCACATAATTTGCTCCCGTTATGAAGTTATAAATTCAGAATACTAAATATCTCAGAGTGTTCAGTGCATTTTATAATTATACTCTCTGCTTTGAATGGAACAAGGCTGAATTCAATATTTGCTTCTTCCTTCATATACATAAATTAGCTCTCCTTTACCCTCACGGACAGGAAGGTGAGTGGCCTCTGCCACCTCAGTCCCTTCTCCCCTCAGTGGGATCTGCATGAGGCATTACCACATGCCACTTTCTCTCTTCACTGAATCTTCATGCTCTATCTTCTCAGATTTAAACTACTTCATGTTGGGATCAAAAGAATAAGGAGTAAAAGAGAAAGGATTAATAGTGCTTCTCCCTCTTCCTCATGGAAACAAGGAAAAAAACTCATTCAAGGCTGGAGAGATGGCTCAGCAGTTAAGAGCACTGGCTGCTCTTGCAGAGGACGGAGCGAAGTTCAATTCCCAGCACCCACAGGGTGGCTGATAAACATCTGTAACACCAGTTCCAGGGGATCCATCACCCTCTTCTGATCTCTGTGGGCAGTGCATGACACAGGTGAACTTACATACATGCAGGTAATATACTCATACACATAAAAAGTAAACATAATAAATAGAATTTTTTAAAAAAATTCATTCAAATGACTCATTGAAAAATCATATTTGAGGCCTGTGCCCCTAACTGGTTGGCAAAGTTGGCACAGATCCCAAACAGAATCTGAAGGAACAGCATTGGGATGATTATAGATGAAGCAGTCTCCCATAATACCAGCTGTGATAAACCCACACAGCACTCCTAAATAACCTGGAGGCAGCAAAAAGGTTCTGTGGCTTCCACACTCCAGGAAGTCTTGAGGCATGTCCTGACTTGCTGAGTTGGGAGTTGCTATGACGCTCACTCCTCTGCATGAAGAAAAGTCCTTGAGGCTCAGCCGTTCATTAAAGGGGGCTCTCCTGTAGCCCTGAAGGCAGCCCTTCACCTCCTTCCCTTGGCTTGAACCACAGTTGCTGAGGACAGGATTGCTTCAGCTATTCTTTCCTGCCATACCCAGGCTACCCTTAAGCCCTTACTAATTCTCTCCCCTGGGCCCAGGCTTCCACTTCAGATCACCACAGCAGAATCCTAAAACACCAGGCTATATTACAGCTGCTGGGAGGATCTCCATAACCAGCCCTACGTGATGCAAGCCAGAGGCCAAAAAGAGGCTTACTACTGTCTAGAGGGAGGTGAAGTACTCTGGAAACTGCCTCCCAAACAAGCTGAAAGGGGAAAAAAAACAAAGGTTGCAGGACTTGGGGAAAAGCCCAGCAATGTGAGTGACAACGCCAGGCTCAGAATGAAGCAGACCAGCATGTCACCAGCTCGGGAAAATCAGTAATACCAAGGATCTGAGGAGAGAACCTAGAGCTGTGAAAAGGAGAGGGAAGGATAGGAGGACAAACAACATAATTATTGTAACTTATGACTAAAATTAGATTGTATTACAACTCAAAAAGTAATCAATCTCCAGCTCTATTTTAAGAGGCAACCCATGAAAGATTTCTTCCCAAAGTCATAGTTCTCAAAACTCAGCCTATGTCTCGGCTGCCTCAAGTCCCAGGAACATAATTAGAATATTTTCTGAGGAGCTGAACTTCGAAAGTGCGCATACAAACCATGTACGAGCACGTTCTTATCTAGTTTGGGGCTCTCTGACAGTGTACTATTACAGCAGGGTGAACTGCAAGGGAGGTAGGCCAAAGGGCAACAGAAGGAGGAACTTCCGAAACACTTGGAGCAAACACAGGAGGCCCAAGGGATTCTAAGTAACCCACAACAGATCCATGGCCTTAGGTATCCCCAGCCACCCGCATCAATGACTGCCTGACGGTGGGATGAGGACATGGAGAAGGCAGAGAAAGGAAGACTACTCGCCTAAGTTTTTCACTCATTGATATTTACTCGGCACCTACTTTTAGAGAAAGTTCAGTGTTTAGCTCCAGGTTAACAGGAAAAGAAGACGACTATAAAGGACTAAAACTAGCTGGGCCTGGTGCACACCTTTAATCTCAGGCCAAAGGGGGCAGAAGCAGGGGGATTTCTGTAAGATTGAAGCCAGCCTGGTCTACATAGTGAGTTCCAGGACAGCTGGGGCTACAGAGAGACCCTATGTCAAAGCAAAACAAAATGAAAGATAATAAAACTATTGTTAGTGTTCTCAGGCAACGTAAATCAAGATAACAAGATTGTACATTGGTACAGATATAACACAAGAAAACAAATGGTGTCATTCTAGTGACCCATGCAAGGATTTGCTAGATTTCAAGGGAACCCTTACAATGGTGTTTTTAAATCAATATTCAATATCTCTATATATATACATATTCCTGGTACCAGAACTTTTTGATATGTCTGGGTCACCCCTTCCCCCACCCTGCCCCAGACTGTGACCTTATTTGGTGGATTTTTGTCACCTTGAACCATCACCTACTCCGATTATGAACTGGCTGGCATCAATTGGCTCCCCGCCTCCACCTCACAGTAATCACCGGTGGCAGATAAAAACGACACCACTCTACAGAACAGACTGGATGAGGCAGCACATGGTGACAGGTAGGATTAAGACATTCCCAATGCAGAGCTTGCTTAGGTGTCTTTCAGCAACACATTGTGTAGAACTGAAAGAGTGGTTTCCTCATGTCACTAGGAGACAGTGGACTGTGTAAAATGATCTGGTCCATGGGGACATGAGCACTGAGCTTTACGTACATATACTGAATAGCATTCTAGGGTGGTATATCAAATCCTGTTAGCCTATGCTCTCTCATGAATAGGTAGAGATGCTAACAGGCAACACTTTGTATCAGGTGGAAGAAGAGGATTACAGCACAGAGCCTCTCTTCACCACGTTCAATTTTCCCTGGTACCTCAGGGTAACATTTCAGTGTGAGTAGAAAAGAATCATTTTCATAATTTCTACTATAAACCTTGCAATGGTGCTTTTAAAACAGTATTTAATATCTCTAAATTAATCCTGAAGGATATAGAAAATATGATTTAAAAAAAAAAAGAGTAAACCAAAAACTCTTCAAGACAGACTCCCAGTACTGTGGTTCTTAATGAAAGAAATAGGGAGGGGTATCATCTAAGGAAAACTTGGCCATTCCTGCAGCCATGTCTGGTTGTCGTGACTGAAGATTGCTACTTTTCTAGTGAGCAGAACCTGGACTACTGCTAGACTTCCTATAGTACATAGGGGCAGCTCAACAATGAAGCCTCAAAGGTGGATGGTACTGAAATTGAAAGCTTGTACCCTAACAGAAACAGCCCTCAACTATGAGTCAAAAGACCAAAATCTAGACTAGATTACAGCACTTCATAGTAACATGACATTGGCAAGTGCCTCAATCTCTTCACAATTTAACTTCATCTTTCACACAGCAGACGCACCACCTGCCCTCCTCAGCAGCTCAGGGTTGTTTACAATTATCTAATGAAAAGCTCTGGTAGTACACAAAAAGGTGATACTTTAATTATTCGACACCACAGCTTCTTCAACACCAACATTCTCAGCCTAGATTTATACAGACACAAATCCAACCTACAAATATTTATGTAGAGCTCATAGAATAAATAGGACAGTTTTATCTTATTCAAGAAAACTGGGTGCCCACAGAAAGCCATATGAGCTTCCTGTCCTTTATAATCTAAGGTTGAACATTTGGCTTTCTTTTGTCAATGATCCACAGGTGCCCAATGAGCTTTGGGTCTGAAAGCACTTACCTCATGGGTTTTCTCCTCATGGAAGCAGGATCCGGATGCCTTCAGTACACATTCTGGGCAGCACTGGTTGGGGGCGATCTGAAGCACTTCTCCCTGAGTATTTGAAAGCAGCTCAGTGTGAAATAACAGCAGCAAATATGTATCACATAATTCATCAGACCCCAAGTATCTACGATTCCCTAAACCTCATGAGTTTCCACAGGTAACAGTGATGGACAGGATAAAGTCAATAAACTAACAAAAAGAATTGTCCGTCAAGAGTTGCTATTTTGGAAAGTAATTTCTTTGGAGGAAAAAAAAATCTCTATCTTTTCATATGTAAATGTAATGAAGTAGTGAATTATTTTCACTAGAAATACTTCATACAAGGAAAGTATTTGGAGTGAGAAAGGGGCTGCATTTCTCTAAAGGTGCTCTTTGCCTCTGTTGAAAAGAGGAAGAAGATTCTAGTGCACGGGAAACAACCACAGATGTAGAAGTCTTCAACACTGTTAGCAAAGCCTAATACTGAGCCGCATGCAGCAGGGAGCTGATTCTGAGGATTTTGCTCACTTTTACTCATAGGCAGAGTACTAGAGGGGCAGAGGTTCAAGGATAAATTTGGAACAGGAACTAGCACTGTTGTGGAGGTATCACATGCAGGTATTGCGGAAAGCCGAGTAGAATTCTAAGGTTCTAATAAAGATCTGTTTTTAAGGCTTCTATAATTATAGCTCTTGATGTTATAGAAAGAATGGGTCAACATCTGATACTTGGATTTATTGGAAACTTGTCACATGTTAACTAGTAATACATTTGTCACTGTGAAGAACCTGCTAGAGAGTTATTAGAAATTTAGAGGCTTGGGATGTAGCTTGGTGGTAGAGCACTTGCCTAGCATATGTAAGGCCCTGGGTTTCAACCCCAGTGCCACACACATAAAAAAGAGACACATACACAGAGGATGAATAAAGAGGGGAAGGTCATCTTTGGGGCCTATTGATTCTCCTATTAGATCTTCTTACCCATGTGTGTATTTTAGGATTGGCTCAAGTTCAGAGATGTGGAAAATGGGCAACGAATGATTCTGACCAAAGTTGTTAGAGACCTGCATTAGTCATAAAAGCATGACCGTTCACAGGATGAAAGTCTACAAAGACTAGTAAGCAGGATGGAGAAACAAGATGTGCATGTGTGTGTGCATGCGTGTGTGTGTATTAATGTTTCCTTTCTTACTGTTATCTTTGGTTACTTTCATTACACACACAATTCTCAGTTCATCTAACTATATCAACAACAGTGAATGAGACATAGGACTAAATATGTTACATCTACAAATGCACTAAATAAACCCATCAATAACAGCAATCACCAAATTCGCCTTATTTTCTCGATGAAGAACAAAGTTTACATGATATGGGATTTTATAAAACTACCCGTGTTATGCAACATCAATGACTTTTCAGAAGGGTGCCCTCTGAGCCAAGAAAAACTGCATTTTAATTTCCACCAAGATGGCAATGGAGATTACATTAGCATAATTTCCACTAAGGATTTCATACAGATAGGAAATGAGATAACTCCATTGTTTAACAACACAGATGCAGGGAGCAAGGGAGACAGACAGGTAGAATGGAAAACTTCATGGGAAATTTTATACTTCTCAAATTACTTTTCTAGCATATAACAAACAAATTTTCAGATTCAGCTCTCAAGAAAGCATTTCAAAATATATTATTCTTTATTTGTGAGTGGCAGTGGGGGAGGGAGAGGATGGTTTTCCACTGGGGTCAACCTTCTGAATGCCTGGGGTGGGGGCAATCATGATAGAAGGAAGAAGGAGCCGAGAGGCCAGGCATGGTGGCACAGGCCTTTAATCTCAGCACCCAGGAGGCAGAGGCAGGCATATCTCTGTGAGTTTGAGGACAGCCTGGTCTACATAGTGAGTTCCAGGCCAGCCAGTGCTACGGAGTAAGATCCTGTCTCTAAAAACAAAACAAAACCCAAAAGGAGCCATGCAAGTGGCTGGAAAATGAGATGTAGGCGATTTTTGCCATCGGTTCACAAGGCCCTGAATGGCCCTGTGGTCTGCACAAGTGACACAGGTGTATTGTCCCTCCAAGCTCTGCATGGGGAGCATTGGCAAACTCCCACACGAACAAGCACTGTCAGTGAAGACTGCAGGGGGCTGGCATGATGACGGGTGCAGGTTCAGAAGAATCAAATGACAATAACGACAAGGATGATTTCATGATTATGGCTTATACTTACTAAGTGTTTTCAATAGCTAGGTACACTGGTCTCTAATTTCCATAGGCAATATGTTCCAAAACCCCTAAAAGTTGCCTGCACTGAAGACAGACCAAGTAGTATATGTACTATGCTTTTTTCTATACATACACACCCAGGCTAAAATTTAATTTGCAAATTAAGCATAGAAAAAGACCAACAATAATAGCAAATAATAAAAATTTACAAAATCATAACAATATGGGAGCTGGAAAGGTAGCTCAGCAGTTAAGAGCACTGACTGCTCTTCCAGAGAACCTGGGTTCGATTTCCAGCAGCCATGTAGTGGCTAACAACCATCCTAACTCCAGTTCCAAAGGATCCGACATCCTCTTCTGACCTCCAAGAACAGTGCATGACATGGGCGCACTTACATGCATGCAGGCAATACACTCATACACATAAAAATAAAATAAAAATAAATCATAACACTATATTGTAAAAAACATAACACTATATTGTTGTACATATTGGGTCTGGAGAGATGGCTCAGCAGTTAAGAGCACTGACTGCTCTTGCAGAGGACCTGGGTTCGATTCCCAGCACCCACAAGGCAGCTAGAAACCATCCTTAACTTCAGTTCCAGGGGAATCTGAAGCCCTCTCTGACCTCCACGGCATTGCACAACACAGGTGCACTCACATACATGCAGGCAATACACTCATACCCATAAAATAAAAATAATGAATAAAATATTTTTTTAAAGTTATATATATCAAGCATAATATAGATCTTATAAATCTCAAAATTCAGGTCTTTTTCTAATTTGAGAATATGACCTTTTCACTTAGGGAGCGTGCTTCAGGGCTTCTCTTTGGTATATGAGAACCATCACCATCTCTATTGTGTTTGGTGGCAAATTGTGAAGTAAGATAAAAGTTAGTTGACTGCAAACAGTGTCACACCAAGACAATCTTTCTGATAACCAAGACAGTCACTGAGTGACTAATGAGAAGGAAGCATACATAGGACAAACATGCCAGATCAGGGGCAATGTTGAGTCCTGGGAGAGTAGAACAGACTCGTGCAAGATTTCATCACACTATGCAGAATGCCACATATTCTTAAAATTTTATCACATATATTTAATTATGATGGGGAGTTGCAAATGTGCCAAAGCATTCATGTAGAGGCCACAGAACAATTTGCAGGAGCTAGTTCTCTCCTTTTACCATGTGAGTCCCAGGTATTGAACTCAGGTTTACAGGCTTTGCAGCAAGCACCCTTACCTGCTCAGCCATCTTGCCAGCCCTGTGCCACTCAACCTAATACTTGAGCACTCTTTATTTCTGAAATCTTCCAGTTAATATTTTCTGATCATGGTTGACAAAGGAAAACAGTGGGTAAGAGGGAATACTATAATAAATATGTATGTATACGTATGATAGTGCATGTACAGTTTATTTGTCACAGTTTCACTAGGTAAATACTTTCAGCAACCATCCCCTTATACTTATTCACTGAAGCCTTGGCAGCTGGATCTCAGATTCTTCTCCATATCTAGGCACCATTCTGAACATCTTCAATGTCCGTGAACGTGAGCAGTCCCACATTCTGCCCTTGTATATCCTTGACCATCTCCCAGTCAAGCAAACCTGACCTCTCCTATCTCAAGGTTGAGATACCTCAACCTTGGTATCTTTCCATTGTCTGATCTGCTGAGTATCTGAAACCTTCAGCTCTCCAGTCCCCAGGTTCCCAAGGCTCAGTTCTCCCTCTCTCTCACATCTACTTCATCTTCTTACCTTCAAGGAGAGCCTTGAGCACATCTGCTCCTGGCAGTGGCTCAGGGTCAAGTTGGCCTCCTTTTCCTCAACATCTGTCACTCCCCTCATCTCCACTTCATTAGCATCTACCTGTCTCTGTACTCCGCACCATGCCAAGCTTTTCTGTGGATTCTGGGGATGTAATTTAGGCTCCCATACTTATGTGGAAAGCACTTAACTGACTGAGCCATCTCCCCAGCCCAAAACACTCTTAATTAATACAAAAATAAGCTATAGGGCAGATTTAGTCTACCAATACCTGGTATACAACAAATTTAGATTTGCATTCTTCTGATGACCAAAGATGTTGAATATGTTTTCATACATTTATTTGTATTTGGTACTTTATTTGAGGACTATCTATTCAGTTCATTCATTGTTCTTTCATCATTATTATTATTTTTTTTTTAGTTCTTTATATATTCTGGTTATCTGTCTCCAGTTGGATGAACATCTGCCAAAGGTTTTCTCTAATTCTTCAGGAAATACCATAATAAACTCCATTTCTTTTTTGGAAAATTAATATATAGTACTAAAAACTAATTTTAAAAACTTTAGTTTTCAACAACACAATCTAGAACCTCTAACATTTAATTTAGGGTTTCTTCTACGATATAATAAATATTCATGAGAAGGGGAAGAGGGTGTGTCTTCATGATCTTTATACTACCACCTGGATTATGACATGAGTTAGAGAGCCAAATGGTGATGGGGGGGGGATATTTACTCCATAAAATAGAAGGATCTGTGACATAGAATATTAACAAATTTTTGCATGTGTACATTCCATGCTTCTCAGAATATACCATGCAGAAATTGAAAATTATCCATAAAATATATTTTCATTCTAATGTTAAGGGGGAAAACCCCACAACCTTATTAACAATAGAAGCAGAAATACTCAAGATTAATTATTGGGGGAAGGGAAGAAACTAGAAAAATAAACTGTGCTTGTGAAATTGACAGAATGCTTTTTTTTTTTTGAAGAAAATAATTGGTCCTCTCTAGAGAGTTTCAAATGTTTGCATTTAAAACTTAAGCTTTTTAAAAATAGATTGATTTTAAAAAAAAAAGTCAGCATGTAGAAAAAATATTCTAACAGAATAGATGTCTGGTTAGAAAAAAACTGAAGTCTTTTAACAGAGGGAGAAAAGGAAGCATCACTCATAGGCTTAGTCAGATAAAGGACATGCTCCAGTAGTGGGCTCTCCTGCCTCCTATGGCCTGGAACAGCATGATAACATCAGGAGCAGCAGACCCAAGTGGTAGTTCTAAGAATCCACCTTCAGGAAGTCAGTCCTGTCAGTCAGTCCAGTCAATGCTGTGTACACGCTGTGACTGCTATCCACAGGTTTGGCACATGTCAGACTCAGTAAAATCTCTGATCAGCAGTTTATTTGTTGTATAATTATGACTAATTACTTAAAATCTCCAGGTTTCATTTCTCTGACCTGTAAAATGGAAATAGACACTGACCTCCCATCACGTCAAATGGTAGCATTTGTAAAACCTTGAACCAAGTGCCTTTCCCAGAATAAATGTCAATAAGTGAACACTAAGATATTCTTACATGCATAAAACTCTTTACTGTATTTCATTAAGTTTCCAATCAGAGACTGGCTGGGGAAAATGTCTGAACATGATCAAAAAGATTAAGAAACCTGATCATTTGCTGATTTAACCAGTATGCATAGGGCTACAGTTAGAAAACCATACCTTCTCAAAGGCACACTGAGGGTTTCTGCAAACAACAGGTTTGCAGATCACAATATCACCATGGCAACGACAGTTCTGGCAGGAATCAGGCTTCCAAAGTGTGGCATCCTGCAAGGAAGCACAAGCTCTGGGTTAAAAACTGATCAGTCAAGGTCTGAGCTCACAAAAGCACAGCCATCAATAGCCTCATGTCCCCCGAGATTAAAAAGGCAAAAGAAAGTCACAGACACACCACACACAGGACATGCTGGACACTGATTAAACCCCAAGTGGCAATAAAAGCAGTATAATCCATTGCACAGCAGTCAGTCCACGTAGCCGAAGACAAGGACATTCAGCAGAGAGCTGTCGATACCCAGAGTAAAAACTATCGATTGGTCTGAAACCTCGGGAGGACACGCTGCTCCTGGACTTGAAGTTTCTTTATGCAGCTAACTAGCAGAAACCATGTGAGCCGGCTTAAGGGAAAATGGTACTTTGACTAGCACTCACCAGCATCCAAAAAGCAGGATTTACCACTGGATATTAAAAGCACCTCAGACTTGATAGCTCTCTACTAAAATGTACTCCAACACTCACAAGTGACGAGAGGGATGTGAGTGCGAAGTCCAATATTTTAAGACAGCCACCAATGCATGCATTGGGTGGTTACACTGCCTAGCGGTGTGCCAGGAACACCGGACACTAATGAAGCCCAAGGGTGGGTGCCATCTGTAAGGATCTCACAAAGCTTTCTGGCCATGCACATGATAGAATTAATAAATATAGACTGATGATATGATGTCCTTATTCAACAAACTGGAAAGGAAAATAGTAGGCATGAACAGAAAAAGTCAATTCGGGCTCAGTTAAAAGTCTTGACATTGCCTTTTAACTGTCTCTCCTTTCACCATGCTGCAATATTTCAATTGCATCCGTTTTAAAGTCACTTTTGGTTCAACTCAGATTCCACCTATTCCTAGCCATTGAAAGACCACTGTAAGGGCTTTGAATTGAAGCAGTAGGGACAGCAAAAGTTAACACCGCTCCAATCATGCATTCCTACTCTACCTAGACAACCATCTATAACGTTTGGCTGGGTTTTAAGCACGAAACCTCTTTAAGAAGGACTTCTGTGTGATTCTCTGGCTTGAACCTATTCTGTGACTCATCTTTAGCCCCATCAGGACAAAACTCAGACACTATATCAGTTTTCCCTCTCTCCATGGGCAGGCTGAATCTCATAGCCCTAGGTCAAGTCACTGGACAGCCCCAACCTCCCTTTAGCTTGGTCTCACATCCTGTACCTCTCCTGGAGCCCCTGCTCTGCCCTGACTTTTCCAAAGAGCTAGCCAGCCTCCATCTCAAGGATGATGAATTCTTTTTGACCTTTACCCCTACTGGGACACAGCTCTTCACCACACCTCTGTGACCCCACCGTGCCTGCGCACACTATCACACTTTATTGCACTCATTTAAGTGCCTTGCAGACCAGACTAGAGGCTCTTTAAAGCAATAATTGTCCTTGGCCTGCCACGCTGCAGATGCTTAAGAGAACAGGCATTAGTTCATAGGGTGCATAGTGGAGGCTCTTTCGTCCTTTTTAAACTTTCTCACCCATATTTTCCTCTGCCAATCGATGGAGATGCTACTCAATGCATTAAGGTGGAGTAGGAGAAGTTTCTACCCTCCTTGTAGCCACTAGAGCCCCATGATACTGGTAGATGCTGACAGCGGGCCCTCTCGTACACAATGGCAGAAACCAAATGTGACAGTTAAGTTTATGTGCCAATTTAGCTAGGCATAGAGCCTACTAATTTGATCAAATATAATTATGTTGCTTTGAAGGTACACACAGTCACAGACTTATGCTTTTTAAATTTTTATTTTTTATGTTAAGAGTGATTCAAAATATACTCATTCATTAGAGAGCTTAGTTAGGATTTTGAGAGTTTGTTTGGAAGTTCTAGCAGGGAGCTGCAGCTATCCATATACCCTTGACAGAAGTCCAGTCCTCCAGTGGGAAAGGTCTCCCCTTTGACCCAGCATGCAGCTTCAGGAGGGACACACATGGAGCAATGAGGGAGGATGGGAATACCTGTCTAGCCAGCCAGATCAATTGAATCAACCTTAGCAATCAATGGGTAACAGGTGTTACAACCAGTTAGGTCTCACATCTAGGATTTTGGATTTCAATCTTTTCCCAGGCTAGCAATGTGCAGTACGGTGCTCTCTGAAGGCAATGGACATAGTCAGCCATGCAATCACAAGGATAAAGAGCTATGCTGCTGTGATGTTCAGAGGTTAGTTTATTGAACACATTTTAACTGATGTTTCCAGTTTACAACCAGTCAGGATATAGCCCGAACAAAATTTGAGCAGCACTTGAATTATGCAGATGGGACTGACAAGTGCCATCAGGTGACTTTGAAGTAAAGGAGAGGACTTTCTATAACACAAGTGGGTCTCCTGATCAGTGGCTGGCCTTAATAGAAAAGCCTGAAATTTCCTGGAAAAGAGGGAGTTCCGTCTCAAGACCTGTCTTACAGATTTTAAACTCGCCACTCCCCAGAATTCTATGAGCTGATTCCTTAAAATAAATGAATCTATCCTCAACTCTGTTCACCATTGGTTAGGTTTTTCTCTTTTAAAATCATGATTAATACAGCAACACGTGCAGATTTATATGGATAGGCACACCATTCCAAGGCAAACATGAAGTCATCCTTTCACATCAAGAAAAACAAAATTAATAATCTCTTAGGGAGTAAGCTTCACACAAAAGGACTTCTTCAAAATCACTTAAGAAATACAAACTATAAATCAGGCATGGTAGCACAGGCCTCTGATCTCAGTATTTAGGAGGTGAAGACAGATGATCAAGAGTTCAAGGCCAGCCTCAGCTAAATAGCAAATTCAAGGTGCTATAGAGCAAGACCCCATGGGACAGGAGAGGGTGGTTTGGCCAACCTTCAACACAGTCCTGGAAGGCTAGAGGAAGTAATTCTAAGTGCCAGTGCCATGCCAAACACTTGCCTGCCTAACAACCTTATGAAACCAGCACTATTACCATTATTCCTCTTTTACAGATGAGGAAATAAGATGAGGGAAATTGATCCATTTGCCCAAGGTCACAAAATCCTTAGGCAATATAGGAACTCAGGCCTATTTGAATCCTTGTGTCACTCCTGTTAACTGTGCATCTGCTCTTGAGTGGAGTGCCTATGTCCGAGGTTCCTCATCTATGAAATAAAGGAACTAAAGGAAGATAGGAAAAAAAATTGCAGAATGAATCCAATGAGATGACACGTAAACCATGTTCGGTCCTTACTAAGAGACTATTAAATTTTTTTTTTTCCAAATGCTTCCTGGTATGTTATAGCCATTCAGCAAATAACTCCTAAAAATTTCCTTTCCCAGAGTGAATGCAGTCCCAGAATTCCCTTGGTTTCCCCATCTTCTCACCACTGCTTTATACACGTAACACCTAAAAGTGAAACCAATACTTCCTTGGGCCCCTAGCATGCAACTGCATGAAGGAAGAATGAATCTCCAGATGGAATTTTGGGAGTACCCGGGTAATCGGGGAAAGTCTCTGTCACCGTTAGCCTGAGCCCAAGTCTTCCCTTAACTCAGATATGATTGGCCACACCAGAAAGTGTGGGCTGCCTTAAACTGGGTGAGGGTGTAAGGAATCAGCTACCTTCACTCCCTGCAGAGGCAACATTCTACAACAGACTCGAATTTCTTCTCTGCGCTCAGTTATTTTCACAATGACTCCTTGCTCCCAAACAGTCCATTATACCTCGGTCACTGACTTCAAGAAGCTAAGTCTAAAACACAGTAAGCTTTCACTTTCCTTCACCAAGCTATAATTTTTCTTTACATTAATTCAAAGCCCATATCCTGACCATTTGCTGAATGAATATCTCTCAGTGCTTGCCCTTCTCAGGGTATCTGTCCATCTGAATTTAGATGTTCCACATGGAGAATAAGAGCTTGAGAAAACATTGGGCTGATGTCAGTCACTCCCAAGTCTGGATGGAAAGTGTTGACTTATCACTTCACTGGTGTCAAACTGTGCTTGAAGAAAATATTTCTTCCCCTAAGCACTGCACCTGTCAAAATATTTCCTTGTATTACTGCCCTCATAGAAGTAAATAATTTATGGCTAATTTTTCAAAAACTAAGCCTTTTCCCCAGCCTGAAAAAATGGTCATATATTTTTCAGGTCTAAAACTTTATGAATAAATTTCTATGGTCCTATAAAATTGTTCTATGAAGGTGGGGATGCTGGAGTTCCTCAACAGCTTAAAACTTTGGATAAAACCATAAAATTTAAAAAATAACATTACAAAGAAAGTTTTACAGATTTTTATATATTACTACTACAATTGCAACACTTTATAATCTTCTCTTCTAATCTCTCACAGTTTGTGAAAGACTCACTCTTTAAATAGCTTCTCACTGGATTACAGATTAAAGGATTGGATTGTAACAAACCTAAAAAACAGTGGGAAGTATATGTTTAAACAGTATTAATGTTTTTAATAATATGTGAATAAAAGGTTCTTGAAAATATCATAATATCTCTATCCCCAAATATTTTACAATCAAGTTGCTGAAAAATATTGTTACTGGGCTAAGAATGTATCTTAGTGGTAGAGCACTGGCCTAGCATGTGCAAAGTCCTGGGTTTGACCCATTCCCATTACTCAGAGGGGGTACTCACAATATATATTTACTTGGTTAAGTAATTATTGAACATTTGATTAGTACTAAGAATAAATAATATATATACCATCACAGTACTCAAATTTGGGAGGGTGAATTATTTAAAGCATAAATTTTCTTTCTTCTGAATAGTATAACCCCGCTTAAATTATTGATTATTCATCTCATTTTTTAAAAATTCTCTTGACTTTTTAGATCAAAAATGGGGAAAAAAAATAGAGTTCTCTAAAATCTGTGCTTTCAAGTCACAAAATAGTACATAGGAGCTAATGAGTTTTGCATTATGATTTATTTATAAGCATAGAAACAAAGCATGAGATTATATAACCCAGTAGCAAAAGGAAGTCATTCTTGGGTGTAGCAACTGGATGATATTTTTCTTCTGTATTTTATCT